AAATATCTAGGAATATATTTAACGAAAGATGTAAGAGACTTATACAGGGAGAACTACGAAACACTAAAAAAAGAAATTGTAGAAGATGTAAACAGTTGTTTGTTCGTTTTTGAAAAAGGCTGGAGTGTAGTGGCACAATCATAGTTCACTGTAACCTTGAAGTCCTGGGTTCAAGCAATCCTCTGGCATCAGCCTCCCAAAGAACTGGGATTACAGGCACGTGCCGTCATACCCAGCCTAGGTTTGATACAATGCCAGGGAAGTACATGCGTCCAGTGTTCACTCAGTGAATTACACCACCTTCCACTCTGTCACCCAGTCTGTCCCACACTGCACGTGCCCCCGCTTATATCTCAGTGTCAGCTGGACTCATCTCCCACCTAGACTGTTGCTGTGGTCTTATCTCCAGTTACCACATCAAGTTCATCCTCCATGTTCCTGCCACAGTGAGATGGTGACATTTCTAAAACAAAGATTAGATTGTATTTCTTCCTGTTCTTTAAACTCACTCTTAAACCAGTGCTGTATTTTGTTCACATATTTTTTAATGCACCTGTCAAAGGATATTACAATTGATTTTTGCAACCAAATAGCTTCTTGCAAGGTATCTAGGTAATGTTTTTTGTTGCCATGGCAGCAATTATATAAAATCCAGGAACATACATTCCTTGGATGCTTCTTGGCCTAAGCTTGGGCAGTCCAGCCACAGTAACCTATGGAAACACACCTGCAAGAATGTACCCCGTTTAAAAGAGTTGAAATTGCTTTGTACTCCCAGAATTATGTCTCTACCTTGGGAGTAAAAAAGAAAGGAAAAAGAAAACACATCAAACACAATGGCAAAGTGGTGAAATGCTGTACACCTTTAAATAATAAAGGAGAACTTTACCATACTTTGGTAAATTTACTTACTTTTTAGATCAGGGCACTAGGGATATAAATACAAATCAGAGTCCCCAACACAAAGGAGTTAAAATCCAATGTGGTTAACTATAAAAAGGTACAGAGGATAGTGACCTTTTATTTTTACAGATGGTTCCACAGGGGTGACACCTGAGTTGGACCTTAAAGAGAGGTGAGCGTCTAGGCGGAAGGAATAGCATAGAGCTGTTTGGTAAGTAGCTAGAAATAAAGGTTGGTGCCAACACACGAGAGGATGAGGAATTTAGACTTTTTCTTACTGACAATGAGGAAATAAGAAATTGTAAATGCAGGCGGTTACATGAACAGATTTGTATAGGTAGGAAGTCAAACGTTATTCTGAAGTTCCTTGCTCAGGTAACTGGGTGGAAGATACTAATGTATCAGAGCACAGAAGAGAGAGCACTTAGGGAGGAAAATGAGTCTCTTTCATAGTATATTTGACAGGGGACATAGTGCAGGAACTCAAAAGAAAAAACGGGGCTAGAAAGAACATGTAGTTGGGAGTAACAGGCACACAGGGCCAGTAAGATTAGATGGGGGGGGCGGGCGCAGTGGCTCACGCCTGTAATCCTAGCTCTCTGGGAGGCCCCGTGGATCGTTTGAGCTCAAGAATTCGAGACCAGCCTGAGCAAGAGCGAGACCCCATCTATACTAAAAATAGAAAGAAATTGGCTGCACAGCTAAAAATATACAGAAAAAAATTAGCTGGCCATGGTGGTGCATGCCTGTAGTCCCAGCTACTTGGGAGGCTGAGGCAGAAGGATCGCTTGAGCCCAGGAGTTTGAGGTTGCTGTGAGCTAGGCTGATGCCAATGCATTCTAGCCCGGGCAACAGAGTGAGACTCTGTCTAAAAAAAAAAAAAAGATCAGATGAGGGGAAGGGGCACCTTAAGGCAGAATAAGGAATTGACCACAGGAACCTAATAGAATAGCTACATTTGAAGCAGGTTGTCACAAATCCTAAATCTGAGATTAGAATTGCTCTAGAACAAAATTTTGATAGGGTTTATGCTGGTGATTATTCCTGTTAAAAGAGCCTATCTCTCCTCAAAAAGAGTCTTGAGTCCCACTTCTTGATATCTGAAAAGAGAACTCCTGGGCAAAAATACTCTCTTCATCTGTATTAGTCAAATGAAGTAGCTCAGCCAAACAGGGAAGTCGTTCCAACCTTGGCTTTCATGACCAACAGAAAGGCTTAAAATTCACCAGTGGCAAAGGGCTCTAATAAGATCTCCAAATGTTCCAAAGCTTGATGCCCTGTGACAGTTTTAGGCCTTTCAAAGGACATGAGGCATTTGAGAGGCGTCCTTCCCAAGGCTCCTCACTGAAGGGAAGGCTGGAGATGGAGGGGAGCCTTGCCCTTTCCCCCATAGCTTCTTTCCATCTTTCTCTTCAGGCTCAGAGGCAGGGACTGAACAGGGGACTCCGGGTTGACGGAGGGTCAGAACTTGACTGGCTTGAGAAGGCTGGAATGAGAGGAATGGAGTTATTTCACAGTCACACTAGAAATGATCTCCCCAAATGTCAATCCCCTACATAGAAGACTTGAACAGGCAAAGGCTGTCTCCCTCCCCTGCTTCCTGTCAGCCTCTTCTCCCAGCCTCCTCTCCTGGCCCCTCAGGCAGGCGTTCCTCACTCTAGCCGTGTTCAACTACGTCTTCTCTCCACTACTCACCTCTTGTTCTGACTGTTCTCCTACACGCTCCCACCCCATCAAGATGTCATTTTTGAAGTGCAGAAAAATATTCCACTGTGTCACTCGGATAGCCAGCACCTTACATTTATATACAATTACACAGATGGCCTTCAAAGCACTAATACGTGCAGCACTGTTTTTAAGAAGCAGGCGGGCAAGCTCCATCCCCATTTTATAGATGCAGCAGACCAGACTAAGAAAGATGAGTGAAAAGATTAGTTAGCCGGGGTAGTCACGCCGCCAACCCAATTTGACTTTCAAAGTATATTATCTTTTAAAGATTAAACATTCAATAAACACCTGCTGAACTGAATTTATGTGACCTGTGAGGGAATCATGTTTTGAGTAAAGACTTCCTGTGCTTCTGGCATTCTGAAATATAACGGCACTGGTCTGCCAGGGCCTCTTAGAGGACAAGAAATTAGCATGACAGCAACACAGCATCCCCCTTTCTTCCTAGTTTTGTTAAAAGAGGGGGTGCAGTAAAAGTTAAGAAGGACCGTTTATTGGGGGATCCAGTGAGAAAAGCAAATGCAAAAGTTAAGGGACAGCAAGCCTGAGTTCAAATCCCAGCCCCCCCACTAACCTGCTGTGTAACCCCCCAGTTTACCTAATGTCTCTCAGCCTCAGTTTCCTCATGTGTGGAAAGGGCAATAATAGGACGTACTTCATAGAATTTGGGGGAAGATAAAATGGAATAACACATGCCACATATTGACCACAGCACTCAAACTGGTCTGCACGTTAGAATCATGTGGCGAGGATCAAGAAACACTGCTACTCTCCAACTAAATCACAATAGTTAGTTGGTCTGTGGCGTGGCTTGGGCTTTGTAATCGTTTTTTAAAGATCTGTGGGTGATGCTAATGTGCAGATAATTTTGGGAACCACTTACTTAGCACAATCAGAATTCAGTAAAAGGCAACTATTATTTTGAATCCCATCATCAGTATGACTCCCGAGGCTTGTCAGGCTTACTTCAAGGGGCAGATGGAAGCCTAGGACTGAAGAGGGGCCATTTCTGCTCTCAAATGAGTCATCGGTTACGGTAAAATTGGGGAGGTGGGGAAGGGAAATGCTCATTTAGATTTATGTAACATACAAACATTTTTGTACCTTTAAATTCCAAGGGGTGGAGGGGGAGAAGAAAACTACCTCTTTCATACTGAAGGTTTTCAATAACAGTAAAGGCTGCGTCCCAACTACAAGGTATGTTAACACTCAAAATGTGCAATAGTCAAAGACCACCAGGATGGAGTAAGGGCAACAGGTATGAGGAATCAAGGCCAAAGTTCCACGGCACTCAGAAGACAATGTTAATTCTGCGAGTTAGTGCCTAAAGTCAATGCGTGTTTTCATTAGTATAGGGCCCCATAAACGGGATGTCTCTGGAGCCTGCTTATTTAAGTGCATAAGCATCGTGTAAGCTGCTGGGATTTGTAAAAGACAAACACGGGAGGAGGGGACGGGTATTTGTATACACAAGGAGGGCAATGCGCACCACCCGAAGGATGGACATATTTGAAACACGGACTTCTGTGGGGGGGAACCAAGGGCAACACACATAACCTAAACATCTGTACCCCCATAATTTGCTCAAATAAAAAAAAAAAAAAGACAAACACGAACAGGGCCTGCCCACGAAGATCACGCAGTTTAGTGGGGAAGCCCTCCACGATCACCCCCAAGGAAAAAACGAAAAGTGTCTAAAAAGGCGTGGGGCGTCTGAGGCGTAGGGTACCCGGAGGCGTCGCGGCGGGCCCGCGCCCCGCGTGGCTCCCAGCGTCCGGGCGCGCTCTCGCTGCGGGCCGCTCTCCGCCAACGCCCGCCTCGCGCTCTGCGCCAGCGCGGCACTTCCCGCCGGGGCCGTGAGCGGCGCGGAGCCCCGACGACGTGTCGCTGGTAGCCCCGGCGCCCGAGCGCCGCGCGGCGGAGCGGAGGCCGCGGCAGGAGGCGACAGCCCGGCCGGCCGCGACGGTCTTCCAGCCCCTGCTGGAAAATCGAAAACCTGGTTTTGAGAGAACAGAATTGGGTTCCGTTTCATGTGATGGTCGACATAGGTCTTCAGAATGTGAACTGATTTAGTAGATGAGAAAAGGTTAGATGAGCTAGTGTCATTTCTTCTGGGAAGAATAAATAACGGTAGTCAGAAATTTAAAATGCTGTAGTAAACACAAGTTTTATTTTCATGTCTTCATAACCAGAATGAAAGATATTGGACTTTAAACTACCAAAGGAAGGATTATTGTTAGCGATGTATGAATAATCTTCTTAGAATAGAAATCGATTTTAAAAATGTGAACGAACTGTCTAGAGACGTGGAAAGAGCTTCACTCTGTCTCTGAACTCCAGCAACGGTGCGGCGAGCGGAGCTGCTGCCGGAGGAGTGGAGTCAGACTCCCTCTGCCACCTGTAGGATCGCGGCTTCCTAGGACACGACTATTAAACACACGAAGTGTGTTAATGGAGTTATTTTCCTTTATTTAGGTGATAGAGCTCTTACAGCCAAAATACCATTGTAAAGAAAAGGCTGAAATCATCTGCGCTGAAGTTCAGGTTAAACTCAGCAAGGAATGTTTTCACCCTTACAGTACGTGCAGTATTGATCTAAGGACTGCACGCTGGGAAGAAGCAATCCAGGAAACAAAAGGTGGTGCAGCCAATAGGAAATTGGCTGAAGAATGTTATTTCCTGTGGAAATCTACATATTTACAGCATATGATACTAGCAAAAGATGTCAAAACCATGCTTGCTGAACTTCGAAAGGAGCTCCGCCAACTTTTATTAATGAACGGGAACAGACAGACCCAGAGAGAGAAGATCGAAGCTTGTGCCTGTCAGTCCTATTTAAACACTGTTGTCATAGGTGGAGAGCAGAGAGAGAAGCCAGCACCGTCCATATTTTATTACTGCTGCAATCTCAGAGTACAACCTGGGGACTGTGCGATGGTCGGTGACATACTAGGAGGCCTCAATGCAGGACTGAAAGCAACAGTCCGGATCAATAAAAATGGAATGGTGCCACTGAAGTCCTCCCCTGTTCTGCATTATGTAGTTTCTTCTGTGCTAGAGTTACCTGCTCTCTTATAAAGCACAGACTGCAAAGTGCGTATATCTGCCTAAAGCACATAAAAGGGCCTGATTATGAATGTTACAGTCAACTTGCAAAGTTTGAACTAAGAAAAGTTAGGGCGTTCCATTTACTATGGTCCAGTTCTAAGAATAATTTTACTTACGATTTAAGAGTCAGTATTCTGAAGGTCCTCCCAACCCTGCAGCTTTTAAGTTTTCTTTTTTTTTTTTGAATTTTTATAATTTTATTGAATATTTTAAGAGGTATCTTCTATTTATAGAGGTATTAGACATTATGGCAGTGGATCACCTTTGTTAATTGCTTTGCATAAGCTCTTACAGCATGTTGTTTTAAAATATACACAATTTGCATCGTCTGCATATTTGATTTTAGGGAGCGTATACTTTTAGTTTCTAGGAACTTGAGGAACAAACTATTCTATCACTCTGCAGTTGATACATTTTAAATTGAACTTTAAATATATTTAATGAGTATCTTTATCTTGTTGAATATCTTTATCTGTATTTTCAAAATTTCAAAAGCATTGTCTTTTACTTATATTGGTATTTAAAACAGTAGGATTTTAAAAACATTATTATTTGTTTTTGGTTTTTAACATTTTTTATTTTGTTATTAATACATAATAAATGTACATATTTTCGTGGTACATGAGATAATTTAATACATCCATATAATTTGTAAAGATTAAGTCAGTGTAATTGGGATATCCATCACCTTAAATATTTGTCTTTTCTTTATTGCAAGAGACATTTAAATTATTTTCTTCTAGCTATTTAAAAATATTCAATAGATTATTATGACAGTAGTCAACATATTGAGCTATCAAACCTTTTGATGTTCTATCAAATGGTATATTTGTACCTATTAATTAACCTCTTTTCATCTGCCCTCCCCTTCCCAGCTTCTGGTAACCACTAATAGCCTTTCTATCTTCATGGGATTTACTTTTCTTTAGCTCCCACGTTTGAGTGAGAACATGCTGTATTTGTCTTTCAATGTTTGGCTTGTTTCACTTAGCATAATGACCTCCATTTCTATCCATATTGCTTCAAATGACAGGATTTCATTCTTTTTTATGGCTGAATAGTATCCCATTGTGTGTGTGTGTGTGTGTGTGTGTGTGTGTGTGATCTGAATGATCAGATCTGAATGAGCACATTTTCTTTATCCATTTATCCATTGATGAGCACTTAACTTGATTTCCTTTTGGATATATACTCAGTAATGGAATTGTTAGATCATATGGCAATTCTATTTTTAGTTTTCTGAGGAACCTCCACACAGTTCTCCATAGTGGCTGTACTAATTTACATTCCCACCAACAATGTGGATGGCTTTTAAGTTTTGACAACCAACCATTGACCGGTATTTATATCTGAAAATTCAGATTGCATTAATACATGTTGGTAATGTAGTCCAGAAAACTTGAAGAAATATATTGTTAGTCTGTGACTGGAGATTTTTAAAAATTATTTCATTGATCTTTTAGTACTTTGGCTTCATGGTATTAATACTAAGCAGGATAGCTTACATGTGGATGCACAAATATAAGTTTTATGCTCTGACTGAAAAACAGATATTTTTAAAAAATAGATATTCTAAAACATAATAGAGATTTATGACAGCAATTGGATCTGGTTAATGTGAAATAAGTACTAAATCACAGGCAAATCAAGGCATTTCATAGTGAAAATATTTTCCATGTTTTCTTTTTTTAAACCATATTTTTGCCTCCTTTGGATGTATACTTTCTTTTCTATTAGGAATCTGATTTTTCTGCATGACTTTTTTAGGGAGATGGGGGCAATTTTTCTGTGGTGTATATATGACAGATAGTCCCCCAGTAAAAAAAAACTGTTAAAATCAACAGCTCTACCATGACATTTTCATACCTTTCCACAGTGAGCTTGTAGCTTCCTTGTAGTCTTTACCTCTTATGGAAATATTTTCACTACCTTCTCCCGGACACAAAATGGGGTTAAAGGAACCAGACTGTCTTGCTGGGGATAAGTACAAGCCACCTGGCACCAAAAGTCATTTTCCTCTTGTGTATCAGTAAGAGGACAAGTCCCTTGGTGCAGCCTACCTACGCAGCCCCCATCTGTTCTCTAGTGACTGAGTAGTTTCACCCATCTGATGAACCTAACAGAAAATTAGGTTTTGCTATGAGCTATTTCCAGGGTGTCATTTTGGTACTTGAGTGACTCTTCTTGGAGTTACCATCTTCCTGAAATCTCCTGCTTTTCACATTTTTAGAAATATATCATCATTCACAAATTTCTATATTTAATTCAGGGTTCACTCAGAGTTTAATAATGGCTCCATAGCAAGGCATTGTCTTGCAACCAGAAAATTTTCCCTAGACCATTAGGCTACACAGTTTCGTGGTTACACTAACCAAATTGAACTAAAGTCATTAAGGGATAAAAATGGTTATTAAGGTGGCTAATAAAGGAAATGTGATTTTGGTTTTTTGGTAGGTTATTTTTAAAAACTTGCATAAAAAACTACTAATGTAAAATGTTAGACTCTATGTTGGGATACCTATAGCTATGTCTTCAAGATTGATACTTGGAATCAAATTCTAGACTGTACCATCTATGAACCTATTTCTTTAGCCAGTTTTTTTCTGTCTACTACCAAGAAACAGGATTCTCTGCCTTGTGAAACTGCCCTTTTGTGTTTACTGCTTACTCTTGATTTTTAAAAATGTGATTGTGCCCTCGACTGTCCCAGGGTGCCATTGGTGTAAAATTGAACATTTGTGGACAGGTATGTTCATAGTTCCAGGTATGTGCCCATATGGATACCTTGATTATATTTTAGCTATTTAAAAGTTAAGTTGGAGAATTTTGCCAAAAGTAATTATGTGTATGATTTCTCTAATAGATTGATTGGCATGTGATGCTGACAAACGTCCTTTTAGATATCCCACAGGATGGGTGTAGGTGGCGTCACATTCATTACGCTAGCTGGTGAAGGTTCACTGCTCCTACATGGTGGTGGCAAATCTCAACAAGGTAGCTCCCAGGATGTCAAATGAGCAGTTCTTCAGCAAAAATGATCTAGGAAAAAATGGAATCATTGAATTTCCTCATCTTCACAGTTTTCATTCTATATAGTATAGTAAAGCAATATTACATTCCATTTGCACCCTTCCTTAGAGAAGAACTTTGTGGTTTTGTACCATCCAAGTGGAATGTTACAGAAGATATTTTAAGATATTGGAATAAATCTATGATATTATTAATAGTATTTTTTGTCTTAGAATAATATTCCTTAAAATTAAAAAATGTTGTAACAGTGATGTTTTATCATCTTTATTTTTTTCAAAGTTTCCCCATAGTGGCATGCTCATATGAAGCCAGAGCCTCTCCCTGACACTGCAGTTACAGAGGAAGGGGCACTGCACCTGGAGCACTGGAACCACAGGGGAGTGTTCTGGTTGTGTGTGGACATCCGCCCACTGTGCACACGCATCTTAGACCTGGGAGTGCCTAGGACCCAGTGGATGCTCAGTAAGTATTGCAGGAAAGCAGTTTTTTACAGTTACAGAAGTACTTGGTTTACCACTTTCAAACTTCATTGAAACCTACAATAAGAAACATTTTCCATCATAACCCATTAAATACATTTATAGTGAACATTAATATATGTGTATTAGATAGTTTTATATATTTAGGTTTCAAAAAACTTATCTTCATTATGTATGATGCTCAGATCTTTTTAATTCCATTCCTTTTTAAATTAAGGAATATATTTTACTTCATTTTTGAACAATTACTACTTGCAGTACACAAGTCAAAATAAAAAAAAGGTGAGTGGTGAAAGGTCTGCTTATCTTTTTCCCAGGGAACCACAACCCACCTGCCCTAAAGGCTGCTGCTGTTAGCAGCTTCCTGTATGTCTGCATGTAGAAGTATGTAAGACTATACAGAATTCCTAGAATTCAGGCAGATTTTTATTTCTGCATTTCAGTTTTAGGAAACAATGTGCTAAGATAATACTTAAAAGAGTCATGAAGCTTCTGTTTCAGCCATTTATTTGTGTTTGGAGCACAACATCTTTATGGTCTCAGCCATACACGAGGCCCCTGTGGCTGTCGTCAGTAAATGCGATGGTTCCATTGGCTTTAACTATGCCTGTGGGTTCACGGCAAGGGGAAGGGCGGTGCAGCTGTGGAGCCCCGGCCCCCGGCGCAGTCTGGGCTAGGTGCCCTCTCTAGCTGGTGCATATCACCATCCTGGTGATTCCCTTTGCCACATATGTCAGATTTCCTGTTTTCTGTGTCCTGTGCATTCCCTTTTTTGATTTGTGCCCTCTTTTTGGTGGCACGCATCCTTGTGTCCATTCCCTACACATGTGTGTGAGAGGTAAAAATTTTGAGATCTGAAATGTCTGAAAATGTCTTTATTCTCTTCTCCCGTCATTGATAGTTTCACAATATGTACTGGATGTCATTTTCATTCAGAATTTTCAAGGTCTTCTATGGTCTTCTAGCCTGTCGGCTTCTAGAAGCCCTTTACATTATATGTGACCACTTTCTTTTCCTCTTGTAACTCTTAGGACCCTATTTTTTCCCCCAGTGGTCCATGATGATGTGTCTTGGTGAGGACATGCTTCCATCCTACGTGCTTGGCACTCTGAACTCTCTCAATCAAAACCGCAGGTTTTTAGTGCTGGAGAATGTAATGTCTTCACTGATAATCGCCTCTCCTCTGGGTTTTTTCTTTTTTCCCTGATTTCCCTTTCTGGAACTCCTACTGTTGAGTTATGTGACCTCTACTGACTTTCTCTTTTGTTTTATCTTTTCTGTCCTATTTTTCCATCTCTGTTATTTTGTTTCTTCAGCTTTGTCTTCCAAGTGTGGAAGCTCTTTTCTATTTTGTGTTCAATATTGGTTAAAACTGACAGAACTGATCCTGTGCCCCACGGCTTCAGAAATGCTCATTTGAGGTAGAAATTGAAAACATGCAGTTTATTTTTCTTTTAATTT